TATATATATATATATATATATATAAAATTTCCTCCAGAATAATGACCAAATGAGATTTTGCAGTACAAACATGCAAGACAAGCTTTGCCAAAATCACTTCAGTGTTAAATCCTGCATTTCATGAGCAATAATGATGAATGCTTCTTATGAGGAGAGGAAGCCACTACAAAAGAGCCTCTTGGTCTTCTTACTAAACAAGATAGAACTTCACTATGACTGTTTAATGTGTCTAGTTCTGAGTGTCTATGGTCACTCCCTTGTAATTCTCTTTCTTTCATAGTTATAACAAAGAGAAAGGGCTAGCCTTCTGTTTTGTAAGTCCTTTAAAGATTTTCTTTAAATACGATAAACTCTTTTAATCTTTAAAACTATGTAGCATTAGTTTTTATTATTTTCTAAACTGGCAAATAAAAATTGTATATGTTTATGACATACAACATGATATTTGTCTATATATATAAATTATGAATGGCTAAATCAAGCTAATAAACACATCAGTTTCTCAGGTACTTATTTTTTTGTAGTGAGAATACTTAAAATCTATGCTTTCAATAACTTTCAAGTAAAAAAATACATTGTTTTCTATAGTCACCACATTATACAATAAAACCTTTGAATTTATTTTTCCTGTCTAAAATTCTTTTAACCAAAACTTCATGAAATAATGGAAAAATTAAATATAATATTTTATTTCTATTTAACTGTCAATATCCCAGCAAGGACAATTATAAATGGCACATATAATTGATTATTTTCTTATCAATCATTTTTATTAATAGTGATGACCAATTACTCAGTGATTTTGATCGAGTTCTATCTCTGCAAATTCAGAGTAACTTTGGGCAAGCCATTTAATCTATGCTTCTCTTTATTTGGAAGATGAGGATGATAACTTTAACTCTCATAAGAATATGGTGAAGATTAAAAAGAGAATATGCACACAAGTGCCTAAAACCAGTAGTATGCTGGGAAAACCAGCTTGAGGGAAGTTGATGGGGTTGCTTTGCCACCCTTTGTGGCAAAATACGCCCACCATGGTTAAGGTCAAGCTACCAATAATTTAACCATCAATGTAAGCCAGTAGGTCTCCCGTGCACCCATGCAACATAGTAAGTTTCCATAAATGTTAGTTTCTATTATTATTAAATCTAAGGTCCTTTTTGGATTTATCAATGTATATTTTCATGAATGGTACAAATAATGAAGGAGAAGCAAGCTTAAAGAGATAAATAGAGGGAAAGGTAATGGAATTATAGCAGGCAGGCTTTGGGGTAGAAGAGCTCAGAAATTATTTGGACATATGGGAAGGAGTAATTGGAGAGGTGAATTCATTAGTCATTTCAGAAATAGTTTTGAGCAGAGTTTAGAGTGAAAATAAGCTAAAATGGGAGAGAGGATCAGAAAATACATGTACCAAAAACCTGAGGGTACCAAAATGAACTTGTGATACCTACAATTGTAATGTTATGTGTTTCTTTCTAAAGAAAGAGAACTGTTTTGATTAGACCTTTGGGTTTGGGGAGGTTTGAGTGTTAGGATGAGAAAAGCAGTTATTTACTAAGTTCAGCACAAGTCAGAGGGTAGAAAGAAGGAAATTATTACTGTAGGGATGTGTGTGAATGGGTTTCCAGGAAACCAAAACTGCCAGATGTCAGGAAGAACATCTGGCTGAAAGTGGCTTTGGATCCAGAGCTACCCTAGGATGACCAGCCCCACTGATGCATGCATTTTTCCATCTAGTTCCTTCTATCCTTAGCATTACTTAGCTGTACTCTTCTCTCCATTACACAATGCCTTCTTCTTTTATTGTACATACATTAAACACACCACATATTTTCTTTTCTCTTATAACAATGGCTCATAGATGACCCAATTTTTAAAAGGGAGCATATATTCCTATCCCACACACATAAAATCAGTCAGAATCTCTAGGTATGAATATCGCTTTTCTGGGCAGAGGGGAGCATATAGATATATTTAGTATAGAAACTTTATTTTAGAAAAAGGAAAAACTTTTTTAACTAAATGCAAAAATCAAAGAATCATTCAAAAATAGGCTTAAGAGATTTAAAGAAAAGAAAAATAAAACCAACTTATCCTAATGCTCTTTAAAGAAAATCATACTATCATCTGGATAATTCTGAATTTTAGTCAATTTTATTCTGCATTGTAAATTCTTTAATTGCTAATTGGTAATCCAAAATGAATAGCCTTAATAATCAGGGGGAAAATGCTTAGATTTCAGAAATGAAAACTTTGAAAGTGGGAATGTGATTGGATATGAAAGACAGACAGAAAGAATGTTCTTAAATATTTAAATTTATTTTCCTGTGACAAAAGGACTAGACTTCCTAGAAAAAAAATCATTGTATATAATCTCACAGCAATCTATGAGGAAGATGTTGCTATTTCCATCTCATAGATGTTGAAACCAAGTGTCTCTGATTGTGTTCATTCATTCGTTTTACAAATATTTATTAATAAGTTTTTCAAGTGCATTGAAATTAGCATGGGTTGTATTGCAGTGACTAATACAGAACATTGCCACTCAGATGGAGATTATAGACTAGAGACAAAGAAACCACAAGTGAACTAACAAATAATGTTATATTATTAAACATGAGAATGTTCTTTAAGGAAATAATATATAACATACAATAAAAGAGAATAACTTAAAGAGGAAACTATAGCTGATGTTAGAAATGTTTTCTTTCTGAAATATGCAGAACTTTGTAGTTCCTGGTAAAGAGTAACCTAAGGTTACACAGAGAGTGACTGGTAGTGCCAGGATAAAATTCTGTCTTTTATTTCATTGTCTACATGCCTTGTAGGGAGCCCCAAGTCTTCCCAGTTTCTGTTTTAGAAAAGCAGTATCCCTTGAAAGGAATTTATCTACTTTGTGACCATTCCTAACCTGCTGTCCAGCAAGTTGGTATCCATAAGAAACAAAACTCAAGGTATTATTAATGAAATGCATTTAGATAATTTGATATTCTTGAACTTATATCTCTTTACTTGTGGTCTTAGGTGATTCTTAAAACCATTTTTCCTGAGATTACCCATGTCATTTTAAAGAAAGTCATAGTCCTTTCACATCATATTGGATTAGGAATGTCTACATCCTTATCTTTACTAATGAAATTTATTCTGGGAGATTTCTAATTTTCTTAATCCTTTGGTTTAAAATATACTAAGGTATAAATTAAGAGTAGTCAACATCCTCATCCAAAGTATAAGGGAACTGGACCAGAAAATTTGTTATGCACCTTTAAGAATCAATGTAATTCCAGGAAAACAAAAGGAATAAGCAAACAGAGAAGAAGTAAAAAGAAAGAGAAGAAAACTACAGAAAAGTTAATATATTGGTCTTTCTTTTATCTAGAGCCCTAGAGGAGTTACACAGAACCATGAAAGTTTTTCTCTGGTCTACTTGAATTTGATAGAAGAGAATAGCAGGAGGAAAACGGGTCATTCTGCAAGGGATCTAGAAGTGCAAACAAGGTGGAAGCAAGTGTTTTAAGAAATCTACAACTTTTCACTGCTATTTAAGCTACACAGTGTTTGAATTCCAACAGGAAGTCATTTGCCTGGTCAGGTCTGTTATAGGACTTGATTGTGTAAAGCAGAGCAGCATTGATACTGACAGATCACTGGACTTAAGAATTTGGAGCGCTGAGCTCACAGGATGACTGAGGCTCCTGCAGGTGGAAACCCTATGTTAGTGACTTTACCTCAATGAGCTTCCATGTCCTTACCCAGAATAGAAATGAATTGGACCAAATAATTTACCATGCTGCTCTATGAACTGATGCAATTACAGGAAAATGAATAAGTCAAGGAAGACATAAAAACAGAGAAGAATACAGTAAGGTCCAAAAAACTTTTCTGAGACTACCTTTTGCCCTTCTATTGGTGTTATGTCTCTTGAATGCCTCTTTATTCTTAGGTCCATGAGTCTTTTTCCCCATGATTTGTTATCTAGTCCACTCCCTGCTCACTGTTTTGCTAATCATTGACCTTGCTAAACTCTGATTTCCCTGCCATTCTTCATGTGCTTCTCTAAAGGTTTATTATGTCAAGGACAGAATGTATTGTGAAATAACATTCCCAACCTTATCTATTTAACTTATTTTTATAGAAAAATAAATATTGTTAGTGATAGACAATAGCTCACAATTTAAAGAAGCATGCTTCCCTCTCTATTTGTCTCATAATGTGACCCACCCCTGTTTTAGGTCATTCTGAAGTCAGCCTAGTATAATGAAAATATATTATGAAAACATTTAAGATATTTCCTGCATACTTGTCAGCTAATTCATATGTTTTGTCTCTCCTGGCTTCTTTTTACATGAGTTAACTTTTCACAAAAGAGGAAGAGGCAAGTATGAACATACAATCCCTTTGTTTTAAAAGATTTTCTAAGTAATAGAACAATATTGATTTCATAAATAATCATAAGACCAAATCAGTGGGTTTTTTCCTAGTATCTTTTGCTTCTTCTGTCTTTATTCAGTGACCTAGGAATTAAAATGTATATTCATTTTCAACCAGCACTCCAAAAAATTTTAATTTTAAATATCATAGGAAAAGACAATGAGGGTCACAACCCCTCAAAGACCAATGGAATGAATCCATTAGGCAAGACAAGACAAGACAAGAATTTAAATGCAGAGGGGGAAAATCCTATAACAGGAAAAGTCACTACAAGGATAAGTCAATACATATCAGTTGTAACCATCAATGTTAATGGTCTCACCAATCAAAAGAAATAGACTGGCAGAATGGGTCAAGAAGCAAGATCCAACCATATGCTGCAAACAAGAAACACGATTAAAAAAGAAACATAGATTGAAAGTTAAAGGGTGGAAAAAAATATGCCATGTGACAGGAACCTGAAAAAAAGCAGAAATAGCTATCCTATTTGCAGATAAAACAGATTTCAAACCTAGTTGCTTTTGCTAATGTTTTTTGGTTTTTCTCCTGGTACTGGCGACTGAACTCAGGACCTTGCACTTGCCAGGCAGGTCCAGTACCACTGAGCTATGTCCCCATCCCAGCTTTTGCTAATGTTTTGAGTAATAGTTTGAATAGGAGTGGTGATAGTGATCTTGTTCCTCATTTTAAAAGGAAAGTTTTTCAGTTTTCCCCCATTTAATATGATGTTGGCAGTAGGTTTGTCATAAATGTTTATCAGATTGAGATTACATCCTTCTATATAAAAAAAAGTATGTTCATTTTCACTGTTTAATATTTAAGCTTTTCATGTGTTGTTTAATTCTGTGTTATTTCTTACATTTGTATTAAAATACTGAGCAATTAAAAGTATCAATTCTAAATATTTGCTTTGTGGTATTCTCTTAGAAAATGTAGAAATGAACAGTAATTCTTGTATTTTTCTCTCTGTGTATAAAACCCTCCCCTCCTTTCTATTCCTACTCTCTGAGAGATGCAGTTGATATTTCTGATTAGTCACAAAATCTCCAAAGGTCCCTGATCTGGACAGTGTGAGCTCCTTATGTTCAGTGGCTGTGTCCTTATGTCCTGACGCCATCAGATGTGGGGCACTTTAGTGTGTTTGCTTTTTGGTTCTGCTTTTACTTACTTTCACAAATTGATTGGCTTACACAGTTTTACACTTACCAGGAATCATCACTCTCTGTTTTACTATATTTCTGGTATTTCAGCTGAATTGGTGCCAGATCCAACAAAATAATTGAATGCAGCAATTTTTAAACATTGTAACCTCAGGATCCCATTATACATGTAAAAATATCAAAGATCCTCAGAGAGCATTTTTGTAAAGAGAGCTATGTCTGTTGATAGATATCACATTTGGAATGAAAACTGATAAGTTTTAAAAACGAAAATATGCAAGCTTGTATTTTCTTAGCTATCAGAGTATAGCCAACATCGTATAACACATAGCCTCTGGAAAATTCCAGGGCACTCTTGAGAGAGAATGAGTGAAAAGGGTAAATCATGTATTGGTGCTATTATGACAATGATTTTAATTCCAAAGACTCTCTTAAATGGTCTTGGAGTCAATATTAAACACTACTGAATTAAAATATAGGCCAAAGAGACTACCTTATGAGATTTCATGAGCCCTTCTCATAGTAATTCCTTCCTAGACTGCTATCTTCACAGTACCTAAACATTTTACTGCTCAGTCAACACTTTTTTTTTTTTTTTTGGTACCAGGGATCGAACTCCATTCCTTGCGCTTGCGCAGCAGGCGGCAAAACCACTGAGCTAAATCCCTGGCCCTCAACACTTTTTTTTAGGCCATTGCCTTTCAAAGGCTGAGAGCCCTGAGACTAATTGTTATTCATCACTAACAATTTAATTTAAACTGGCTTAGTAAGTGGCTTATTGGTTAGTTTTCAGAATAATAAGACACTAGGATTTAGGCCTTGTATGCTTAATAGAAACTTGGGAAGGTTATAGAGAAATAAAGAGGAGAAGGAAGGGGTAATTCAGAGCATGCACATCTGTCTGAGAAGGTGGATCAGTGTGACGTGCCACAATCCCTGCTCACTCACCCCTCAGAGGGCTCACCAACCCTCCTCTACTCATCACGCACTTTCAATTACAAGTGCTTTTTTGTACTTGTGAATTAAAAAGGGGTAGCTTAGACTTTGAATGTTTAAGAAAAACTGGGAAAGTTGTAAACTTTTGAGACACTTCATATAATACAATCACACATTTCTTAGTAAAGTTTCAGAAAAATTCCAGGGTGAAGTTAAACTTACTCAGACAGGAAAACAAAGCTTTTGTGCTGAACTAAAATTGAAACTGAAACAATATGAGAGCTTTTTTTCTTATAGGTATTCATCAATCACTAACAAGATAGTTCACAAATCTAGGTTCAAAGAGAACTAAATCCATATTACTACTAGGAATTACCAGCTTTGGTTAAAACATTTTTCTTGAGCCAAATTTCTTCTATGGAAGTGACGGCGAACTTCAACCCACAACCTATTTATTTATCACAAAGTGCTGACACCGCAATTAAACCTAAATACTGAGATTTTAGTTCAGAAAAAGCATCTCTACATTAACATCTTTTGTCTTAAAGGAAAAACACAATAACTTGTGTGCCATAGGTTTGCCACCTATGGTTGTTACTAACTAATCAAAAAAAGGATTTCATCTTTTCAAATAAAGCTTTCAAAATTATTTCCTTTCAACTGTAATGTTTTTGTCTTTTTAATTTTTAAATTTATTCTCAAAATATCTCAGATTTGATTTCAACACCTCCTTCCTCTTTGGTTGCTTATGCTATTTAATTTGTGCATGGTCACCTGACATAATCCAAACACATCAGCATTTGCAGACACCACACTTATTTGAGCCCTGTGAGGTGGGGAATTATTTAATCCCATTTCTGTGGGGGTGAAAAATGAGTTCTCAAGCTTTTCAATGACTTTATTCAGGTAGCCCTACAAATGTTTGATGGAGCTGAAACTCCAGCTCAGAATCCCAGGCATCGTTTCCACTGTCCTTTCTTTCTCCTACACCCACTACTGTGACTCATCCTACCTCCTATTTATCAGTGTATCCTGTTTGCTCTGTCAATATATTCAGGATCTATCTCCCACCTCTAATCCTACCTCCTGTCCAAACCATCATTATCTTTCTCCTAGGTTATTGCAATAGCTTTCTAATCAGTCGGCTGCTGCTGTTTTCTCTTCCTTTCAGTTTATCTAAACCCAGCTGTTGCAAAATATGTCAAAACCAATTATATCATTCTTTTTACTAGTAAATATTTTTGATACATAATAATTACATTTATCATGGGGAAATGTTGCACACATATATCACATGTTAAGTATTTTTATTTCCCTTCCCCTTCCTGTCTAAGTGCTTCCTAATTCACATACAATAGTAGCCAAAGTCTTTTTGTGGGCAATGCAGGAGCTCTTGATGCTGATTTGTTTTTCTTTCTTTTCTTTCTTCTTTCTTTCTTTCTTTCTTTCTTTCTTTCTTTCTTTCTTTCTTTCTTTCTTTCTTTCTCTCTCTCCTTCCCTCCCTCCCTTCCTTCCTTCCTCCCTTTCTCTTTCCTTCTTTTTTCCCCTCCCTCCTTTCTCTTTCTTACCTTTCTTCTTTCCTTCATTTTTTTTGTGTTTCTGGGAGTTGAACTTATGGCATCTCACATGCTAAGCAAGTCATCTACCACTGAGCTAGTACATCCCAATCCCCTCCTTGATACTCTGAAATCAATTTTTACTGTTCTTTGATCAGTAGTCATCCTATGCTTCAACCTGTGTGTTCTAAATCCTTGGCACTTGTTCTTCTCTTTTACAATGCTTTTCCTGCAGGTAGTACATGGCCCATATTTTCCCTGACAAACACTCCCTGTCTCCCACTCCTGCTTCATTTTCCTCCATTGACTCTATCACCATTTAATATATTATGTGCTTTCCTTGTTTGTTTTATTATATGTGTTCTTCCACTAAATTTTAAGCTTCACAGAAGCCAGGGATATTTTAATGGGTTAAGTTTTGTGTGTAGGATACTACTAGCAAATGAACCTAGGGCCTGCAAAGTGGACTGCATTCCTAGTTTTTAAAACATTTTTATTATTTTATTTTTTTGAGATAGGTCTCACTAAGTTACCAAGTTTCCCAAGCTGGTCTCAAACTTGTGTTCCTTCTGCCTCAACCTCCCAGAGTGCTGGGATTGCAGGCATTCACCACTACACCTGGCAATAAATATTTCTTGAATTAATTATTTTTCTGTTAATACATTTTGAGAGGGAGAAATAATTCAGACAGCTTTGCAGTGGAACATCCCTTCTGATCTGTGGGAGAGTAAGATTGAACAACAGAGTAGAAAAAGGACTTATAGAAATTGGTAGTCATGAGGCACATGAACAAACATAAAGGATTTAGAGCCAAAAGAAAGGGGTTTGTGTTCCATGCCTGACATTTCGTATGTGTGATTATGGGCCAGTCAATTAATCTCTTTGGATTTACATTTCCTCAAGTATAAACCAGAGTGTGAACAAAATATGCTTCTCTGAGTGGCTCTAAGGTTCAAGTGACAAGGTATGTATTCTCCAACATGTGCAAGTTTATGTACTAACTCCTGTCTGCTCTATGATGTCAAAATTTCCATGGAAAGAGCATAAACAAGCCTATTGTCCTAAATGGCCTTTCTGGCACCGCCTCACCCCCATGGTCAGCCCCACCCTCATTCCAAAGTGGACTTATGGTTGAGGAGGAAGTGAGAGCCACAGTGGAAGCTACATTCTGGCTGAGCAAAGAAAAGCTGCTGGGCTTTTCTTTAAAAAAAGCAGACATGAGTGTGCCACCCACTATGACTTGGCCTTTCCTTGCACTGAGAGCAAGACCAAAAGAAGAATAAGGAAATAAAGATCAAAATGCTATTTATGGAGCATTGGATTTCCCACTATACTTTTGCCATCTTCCTCTGGCATGTGACCAGCTGTGACCTCCAAGATGGTAAAGAGCCTCCAGATGATTTAAACAGGCTGACAAAAATGGCATCCTTGGTTATTCTGGAGAGTTACTTTACTTAAACAGAGCTGGTCATACCACATGATGGAAAAAAATCTAGCCAGAACTGAGAGGCTCCAGAAAACTTGACAAATACTTTGATACTTCTAGTTTGACTCATACTAGTCCAGATAGTGGAACATTGAAATAAAAAATATATCAAAACACCCCCTGGCACCATATATATATATATATATATATGGACAATTTGGGGCTAATTATTTTTCAAATTAAAAAGAGTTGGAACAGAAAGTTATATTTCTCTGAGAGTAGCTTTCACTTTCCAGTCCAAATGCAGAGAGGTACCAAAGCCCAGCTACTCAGGTTATTCGATTTAAATACCACATGATTCTGGAACAGGTATAGGTGTTTCATTCAGAATCTAGTGATGTCCTTGACTGTTGCACAAGTTGGCTTCCTTTCTTATAAATCAAAGAAAACATCATGTATCATCTCTCATTTCAAAATAAGTCAGGTGATGGCTTTAATTAAATACCTTTAACATATTGATTAGGATGCCAAATAACTCTTCAAAAAGCAAAGCAGTCTGGTGGAAGCACATCGATTACATTGTAGAACTGGCCCACCAATTCTTGTGACACATACCCCAAAGATATTGTAGGATGTATTTTCCCTTTCCACTTGTCCCAAAGGGTTCCTGAGAGGCTGAGACCAAATCAGGGGTGGCTCAGACATGGTTGGAAACCCTTGGGAAAAGGAAGTTCCCTACTTCATCTTAGAGCTAACTTTAATTTATAAACTTCTTTGAAAGTATTCCTTCAGAGACCTCTAAGCCTATCAGGTTGACATTGTATTT